AAGAGAAATTATGTGTGTTTATGTTGTGTGAGTGTTGTATACACTATCCAAGCATTGCACAGCTTGTTAAAAACATACAGTATTGTATGAAACAGTTTTGTATACCCTCTCGTTTATCCTTACCTTGATTTGTTTGTTGTTAGATTCTCTTCTTTAAACCCCATCTCAATAGCAAACTGTGTGGCTGTGGAATAGATTTTCAACACAGAAATATGAAAACAATAAAATACCGGAATAAACTTAACCACATCTTTATAAATCACAGTTCTCTATCCAAGTCATCCATTTCTTGATGGTTATATTTATACAAATGGGCCAATCTATATACCTAAGAATACTTGTCACATGATACTGCCGTTAGCTACAAAAGATCTGAATTTAATCTTAGTTGTTCTTTGTATGCCCTTTGCACTGTAAATGGCAGCCTAATTCAAACTTCCAGAATACGTTTTACCATATCCCACTGAATAAATTAGTTGACTGTATTTGGAATAAGTCAGGTTAAGGTCAATGCTGATTATTAGTTCATGTGGTATAGTATTTGCATAGTTTAGATACAACCGGTCTCAATCTCTACAACCTTTATCATTCATTCATGCTCTGCAGCAAATCTCTCCATCATGCAAATGCTGAGTGAGGTGCAGTACTGTAAATCACAAGCTTGATTACTTGATTAATATTTTTTAATTCTGTTAAGTTAATATGACTATACTAAATGCTAATGAATTTAATTAATATTTAAGTTAGCAACCAGGGAAATATGGAGTTTGAACATAAAGAATTCCTAGAGAGCCACGCATAAAACTACCCCCATAAAGTATATATATTCTGAAAGCTTGAATATCAGAGAATACATCTGCCGAATTGATCACGTGACACTGTTTTTAGCTAAACCCCCGAAAAACATTGATAATCCTGTGCTATCTTGAAAACGCTGTGAGATATCCGTTCAAAAATGTGTGAATGAACGAAGTGTGAACTGTTTTCTAAAAGTGCGTCTAGAAATTGTTATCGGGTATTATCTCTTTACCATGTGTCCATCCTATTTCCAGTGCAATTATTGAATCTTGTCTGACACATTTAATACTAATGAATGCGAATGAAAAAATTGCACTGCTAAAGGTGCAAACAGTTATGGTAATCACAGAGACTGCACAAACCTATTTTATTGCCCTTTCAAAGCAAAGTAGGCCCTCACAGTTGAAAATGACAGATTTCACATAAAGGACACTGTTTGAAGTTACTAATGGGAGTACCAGCAATTCCAATTAACATAAGTAAATACAAATATTTGGAAAGGTCTTTGGAGTTCAGTGTTAATCATACTATTTCCGAGCGAAAGAAATAATTTTCACATTTTTAAGTCATCGTTTTTAATTTGCCATAATTTTATTTGATATAACGTTAATATATTTTCTGGTAGAAAAATGTATTTTTATGGAAATCCAAGACACAATACTATACATAGGGTCAATGCATAGAATACATTTCCTCTACACATTATATCTATGCTTACATGTGCATACCTTGGTCCCCAGCTATCAGTGTATGTTTGGTATGTTCCATGACGCTCCTGGCGACTGATATGGCTCCTTTTACACGTCTCAAATCAGCCACGCAACCAGCATCATGTGTCACTCTGTTTGAAAACAGGAAATATAATTAGTTATAGTGTTCCAGTACTCCATATTTATTCTATTAGCAGTGCAACTCCAATAAAAGCTTCACAGACATACAAAAATCAATAAAAAAAAAATCAGCAAGCAATAATCACATGTGTCTACTAATTACCACAAATGCACTGCTACTTGTGCATATTATATTTTAATACAATAGACAGCTTTGATTGCCATTTTATTTATTGAACCACTATGTGGGTTCAATTGTAGCAGTAACAGCAGCAGTTTTTGGGAGGTACTTGGATGTTGTTGACTTTTTAAACAGGCACCTATTTACTTCATCAGTAATCTAAAGTACAAGTATTGATAAAACATAACATAATCAAAATTTCAAAATGAAGCCAAAGCAGGAGGGCAGAGAATGAGGGCAGAGCAAGGGCAGAGAATGAGGGCAGAGCAAGGGCAGAGAATGAGGGCAGAGCAAGGGCAGAGAATGAGGGCAGAGCAAGGGCAGAGAATGAGGGCAGAGCAAGGGCAGAGAATGAGGGCAGAGCAAGGGCAGAGAATGAGGGCAGAGCAAGGGCAGAGAATGACCAATGAACAGCTGGCATATAACCACCAAATAATTCATGAATGCTCATTGGCCATGTAGTGTTTCATGTACTTCGGGAGCAATTTAGACAAAAAATTGTAACCATGGCAACACATACCCATCCATGATCATAGCATCGAGTGTGGTTTCTCCAGTTTCATCAGGGCTAGCAAATATAAGAAAAAAAAAAATCAACATTTATTTATTCTGATGATATTAAAATAAAAACAATACAATGAAGCTGTGAATGTTTTTTATGGAAATTGATAATTTATTTAACCTGGAAGAACCTCATACTTCATTCAAATCCAAAAAAATATGTATTTGTTGGTTCCAAAAGCCAGTTGGTAATATTCATTACCCATGAGTCGTTGCAAGTTTCCTTCCTGCCATACATTCATTAACTGATTGGTCAAATTGTTCTCAATTATAAAACATTAATTATTGTATATAAAAACATTCATGAATTTAGCTCGCTCACTTGAGGTAGACTATTTGTAGGTTTTAGTGTCATGTGATATTTTTGTCTAAGTTATGAACACCAAAATCGACCATTACACATCACACCATTTTAGTTGGTAAAAGTCTAAAGTGATTTTACTAACTAAATTGTGTAATCCTCATTCCCACAAAACTTAAATATTGAAAAATGAATTAATACCTTCCACCGTATCCCACTGTTGTATCACACTGTAGCACTTCACAGACTGTACAACCTTGCTCCACTGCATCCAGAGTACTACCACCATGTATGATGACATCCCAAGCTGTAATGATTAAATAATTCTGTCAATCTAGTCACAGACCTTAGAAAAATGCATGTATGTATGTATGTATAATTAAAATGATATAGTACTGTAGTCAGTACAGCAAGTGTCAGTAACCATTAAATTCATTTATGTCCAAATCAATTAAAACATAAAAAACAAATTATTTTTCAACAATCACCTGGTTCCCTGTGCTCATGCTCATTTAATTACACAATAATGTAAGTATTAAAAATCTA